ATCCTTTGAGAATCCTGAGGAAGAGGAAGAAGGCAGTGAAGAAGATTAAGAAAATGATAAAGAAAGGGGAGCTGACCTTAACATCTGTACGTCTTAAACATGATAACAATAAACTCAAGGATTATGCAATGTAGCTGTATTGCATCCAGTGCTTTGATACCTACTGTACATCTTAGATACCTAAATGATATCTTAATCTTATCATTTAGATATACATCACATTTCTTTCGGTTATAGAATGGACTACAGGCCACATGCTCAATGCCCATTGAAGAGTCAGAGGATGAAAGCAACATGGAGGATCTAGACAAGCCCACAGACTATTCAGATCTTCCAGTCCAGGTGAACTGGAATGTAGAACTTCCTGCCAACATCCGAGTTCCTCCTGTGAACATCCACAGTTTGATCCTGGACTTCTCTGTGGTCTCATTCCTGGATATATCTGCACTCGAGGGTCTTAAAGCGGTATGGCAGCTGTGTTCATTCTGAAAACAAAGTGTCAATTAAATAACTTTGCTAATCAAAGCATGAAATTCTAGTTTGATTATCTGAAAACATCTCTAATGAATCACAAACACTTGTGTTTACAGGCCATAAAAGAATTTATACGCATTAATGTTGACATTTACATAGTAGGCTGTGACCGTAAGTACTTTTTTTTTTCTTTCAGATTGCAGGTTAAAGGGAATTTGTAGTGTATTTGACAATGTTTTCCCTTATCTACAAAGCCACGGCTATTATAATATAACTTAACTGTATGTAATAATAAAGCTGTGCAGTAACTCTCACCTTTGACATGTCGTTTCCAGCGTATATCATAGAGAAGCTGAGGAACTGTACATTTTTTTGATGATGAAATCAAGACGTCTATCTTCTTTTTGACCATCCATGATGCAATGCTCTTCATTCATGAGTCTCATCCACCGAAGACTGTGAGCGAGAAGGTGACGAAAACATTTGGAGATTGCACAAGCTTCATTTGTTCATTCAAAGATGAATTTGTTGCATTTATCTAAAATGCATTATTATAAAAGTGCATTGTTAAAATGTGTGTCTGATTTGAACTTACGCAAACAGGTCTCAGGAAGTGACCAATATCAACACGTTAATAGCAGCAGCACATCCAGTTGGTTGACAATCCAAGCAGTAAGTGACCCAACAAGCACCTGGGATTAAACCTGTAAAAATATGAAATAAGAATGAAATAGTAAATATTAAAAGCTATCATTTAAAGCAAGAGGTCATCATAATTTCTATTGAAGAGATGTCTGAAGTTCTCAGTTGGGTTAATCTGCTTTATTTTCTGCAGGATATGAAAATAGAAGTCGAAACAGACACCAAACCAGAGACAAGGTTTTGAAATGAACCAACTTGAAACCTCCACTATACTGAACTTTAAAATCTGTGTATATAAGAATTTACTTGATTTAGCACATAGCAGTTTTGTATTCTGCGTACTATGCTGCATGCAGAATGAATTAGTTTGAGAATATGCCAATGTGTCATGTACTAATTTAATGGATTTGTGGTGAACAAACACTCTTATCAGTTCACTATCAGTGCCTTTTGTATATTTACATTTTTCTTTTTGAATAGTATTTTTATGTGTACTATTTTTATTCTAAAATAAAAAAATTATGTTTTCTAAAATATACTGTGCTTCCTGACTTGAGACGACACTTGCAGATCTCGGGGGAGAGTCGTGGCCTAATGGTTAGAGAGTTGGACTCGTAACCCAAAGGTGATCTAATTATTTTATTTTACTGGAGTAATAAGCATTATAAATCTAATTCCTAGCTGTAAATGATTAACTATCTGTATGAGAAAGCAAGTTCTGTCAGGACCACTATCGTCAAAATGATAGATACTTAGCATAAAGTTTGGTTTGGCGGTATGGTTATGTTCTGGGCAAAAAACTCCCTGCCCATCCATGCAGCCTGTCATGAATGAGCAGGGAGAGTAGCAATAATAACCCCCCTATAGGGTAAACAGAACAGAACAAGGCAGATATCATTAATGTTCTTAATGATATTTAAGTGTAACACTTTATTCAAGATAAAGGACTCTGATTAGCAAGGAATATCAGAAAGCCAAGTCCTGACTGTGGCGAAAGGAGGAGCTGGGGATGGAGGAGGGTAATTTGCTCCAGGTTGAGGAAGTGAAGAGGGAAAGATAAAGAATCTGTAACTTAAAATATTATGGAAAAAATAATAATTTTATAGCTACTAAAGATGACTTTCTCAAATATGAAAATAGTGAAGTCACACTGTAACAGAGCAGAAACTTTTTTTTAAATTGATTACTATTATTATTATTATTATTTTAGATTTATTTTACATTAAAGTCAAGACTAATCTGTCAATTAAGTTCATTCTCATTATTATACCAGTAGTAAGTAATAAGGAGGAAAACAGCACTCTTTCCTGGGAAAGGGCCATAAGGACTTGAATTATAATAATAATAATTAATAATAATTTATGCATTTAGCAAACGCTTTTATCCAAAGCGACTTACAGTGCATTCAGGCTATACATTTTTTACCAGTATCCTATGTGTGTTCCCTGGGAATCAAACCCACATCCTTTTGCACTGCTAATGCAATGCTCTACCACTGAGCCACAGGAACATTTATATTGCATACTGCATAAAAAAGGAAAAAGAAACATGTAAAACATAGATTACCTAACACGATTTAAGAAGGAATATCCTTTCTGATACTGGAACAACATCATACTTCTTGATCAGATTTTAGTTGTAAGTTTATGGTTTAGAGCTTTGTTTAGGCTGAACAACATAATCTCTCTGATTTCAAGTGTTGGTTAGGATTATGTTTATAGAAATATAATTGTGTGATTGGAATGTGGTTCCTGGACAAACACAGGATATTGATCCAGGAACAAGTTCTATTTGGTCAAATTTTCATTCTATTTCACAAAATGGAAGCTGTTTGAATTATATAAGAGAAACACATGTAAAAATAGATTATTGCACAATATATGTGGTGCACTTGTTGACTTAGTAACTGAGCCAACACTTGAAATAGAAGCATTTAATCAATCTGGATATGAGTAATCACAAATTCTGGCAAAGGAAATACAGTAGCAGGAAACGTACATGGACCTTTGGACTTACCACACAATACATATATTGGTCATAAAATTTCATAAAAATTCAATTAAATCACAACAATGGCACGTTTTAATGCCTGCACTAAGTACATAGGCTAATGGAAACATTAACAGCACGACATGGAAAAAGTATGTGAATAAGCAAATAAGCTGTTAAAAATGGCGAGACGAGATTGAAAGTGTAGGTTAGAGTGTCACTCCACTCTAAAAAAAAAATCACAATTTTTGAAACTGTGATGTTCATTAGTCTTAATGGAGAAGTTCATCATTGTGACTTGTATTCAGTAATTCATAACAAATTCACGTAGTTCACATACTTTTTCCTGCAGCTCTATTTTTTGTTTCCTTCTCTAGAACGCATGTAAATAAGGAAGAATGACTCAAAAAATCATGTGATAAAATCCATCAATGATTAAAGCTCGCAAAGACATCCCATAATATCTGTGATAAGACTAATGACAACCCACTCATCAACAAACCAGACTATATAAAGCACTCAAGATGCATCTGGAAACGAACTAACCAAAATGCAGCCCTTTGGCAGACACTATGTGGTGGTCAGGCCTCTGTTTGCAGAGGATTCCTCCGCAGAGCAGCACGAGAGGATCAACAGGAACCGCAGAACTCTACGGCACCATCTGAAATACTATTTCACGTAAGAATTCAATAATACATTCATAACAGCAGGTCCTTTAAACTGAAATATGGTATCTTATCAGAAGCACGTTTGAAGTTGTGATGTTACTGAGATCATGCGTTGATCCAACAGGAACCTTTAGCGAATTGTGTTCATCTCGTTTGCACTGTAGTTGTGATACAAATCGTGCAAAGAATGCAGCTCTTTCCCTTCTTCCAATCATTGGATGGATGAAGAACTACAACATCAAAGAAGGGCTGCTGGGTGACATTGTTTCAGGCATCAGCACTGGGCTAGTGGCAGTGCTACAAGGTATCACATTTAACATCCATAGTGTTTGGCTAAAATCATTTTTGGAAGACTTTGTAAATTCTGTAAAACCGAAACACGTCATAAAAATGTGTAATTACACCACCTCACGGGATTATTTTGTATCAGGACTTGCATTCTCTTTGCTGGCCTCTTTACCTCCGGGATATGAACTGTACACTGCATTCTTCCCTGCAATAATCTACTTCTTTTTGGGCACCTCCAGACACCTGTCAGTATGTGCGTGATATGCATGCATTTACATGGTACACCATAAAAAACTATTTTTTGAAGCGTTAAATAAAACAATGATTAGTGGAGTATGCTGTACAAAACACTATTTCTATTTGAAAATTCAATTTAATGCCGTAGCTTAGGTGAAATTTACTAGCAATTTCTGAGTGAAAACACTTTCTACACCACTCCTTCAATGTATGTGCATAAAACATCACACAAGGTGAATTCATTAGAAGTGAAGGCTTGTACATAAGTGAATGACATTGCACTTTCTAACTGGACTGTGTTTTAGGGGCCTTTCCTATTCTGAGTCTAATGGTGGGTGCTGTTGTCACCCGACTGGTGCCTGATGAGGGGCCGCCAGCTAACATCACTGGATTTGAAGGATTGAGCATGGACCAACAGAGAGTTCTAGTTGCTTGTCATTACATATATATATATATATATATATATATGTATGTATGTATGTATGTATATGTGAAGAGTTTATTTGCAAAAACAGATAACTTCGTTTTTTTTTTATTTTCAAAAATCATTGTTTTTTTATTATGTAATCATGTTTTTATTGTGTTAGTTAGCTGTCATTTTTTGTTATTTTTAACCTAATCAAAATAACCCAACTGAAGTTTGATTGAGATTAATTGGAATGCACAAGGAAAAAACATGATTTGTTGAAACATGAGAGTTATCTGTTTTTGCAAATGAACTCTTCATATATCCCCCTCCCCTCAATAACTACTGTTTTAATTGAAGGACATTCAGAATCAGAACCTTGACTCTTCTGGAATTACTAAATAAATAACGTTTGAAAACAAGCATCATTGTCATAAATACAGAAGAAACACCAGAGCAAATAATACCAGAGCCAATAATACCGGGGCCTCTGAATATTTTGTTTGACAATGTGGTGACTTTGAGTCAAAAGCTCAAAACCACTGCTTTAGATTTTTCTCTCTTGTACAAGTACAAAAAAAAAATCTTGTTTTAATGTGATTTTGTTCTATTTTAGATTTACGAACCTGATGGAGTGAAAATATTCAAAATTCCCTCACCCATCTTCTTTGCCAATATCGATTTCTTCAAAGACAAACTGGTCCAAGCAGTAAGTTTCTTTTTATTTTAAAGATATGTATAGAAAGAGCTGGGTGTTATATTTCTGGACAATATTTTATTTTTATTTTTTTTCTAGGTGGGTTTTAGTCCCCTAAAAGTGTTGAAGAAAAGGAACAAAGCTCTGCGAAAGATCAGAAAAATGTTGCGTAATGGGGAACTGGAGGTTTCATCTGTACGTCCTTACTATTGATATAATTTATCTATGTTGTTTTGTATATGCTACCAATCAGACATTTGATCACATTTCACACACTAAAAATTATTTTTACAATTAGTTTGACAGGATAATAAAGGACATTATCCTACCTCCTCTACTATTTTATTTGTTTTTAATGGATCAATTTGACAGGATAATTAATGATACTATCCCACTTCCCATTTATTTATGTTATTTTTTTTTTTACTTTTTGGTGCTTTTGTTGTTATGTTTCAAATAATCTTTTTTAAAAACTTTTAAAAATGTAACTTAATTTTTTATTTTTAATGGATTATTTTTTCTTTTACATTCATTATTTTACTTATTTTATAATGGTGACCTCAACCACTTTAGTGACTATTCTAAAACATAAAAAGTATAAAGTAACAATAATAGTAAACTAATAGAATGAAAGAATGAGTATACATTTTTCTCCTCATAAATAGCACAAAATTAAATCAGAAAAACTAGTTCTTGTATTATTTGAAATGCCTGTGGTCCCAATAATGACATCCTTTTTTGATCTAGAGAGGCCTAAAGGTGCGACAACCATCAGTTGACACTTCAGAGGACGACAACAGCGTGGAGGGTCTGGACCAGCCCACTGATTTCTCTGGCCTTCCAATCCAGGTGAACTGGAGCACAGAATTGCCTGCCAACATCTCTGTCCCTCCCGTGAACATCCACAGTTTGGTCCTGGACTTCTCTGCTGTCTCATTTCTCGATATATCTGCTCTCAAGGGTCTTAAAGCGGTAAAAAAGCTTACTATGAGATACAGCGTACTGTATATTTCCACTGGATTTGATTTTTGAGATCTAGCCTAATTATACTTTTTGTTTTTTCTTATAGACCCTGAAAGAGTTTATACGAATCGAGGTTGACGTCTACATAGTTTCGTGTGATGGAAAACAAGCTCCAATAAATTTTCCTCATTACCAGCCATTTTATTTCAAAACCTCTTCATTAAAACAACTCTGGTCTCGTTACAGTGTACATCATGGAGCAACTTCAACGATGTTCATTTTTTGATGACGAGATTAAGACGTCCATCTTTTAGCCCACACTACATGATGCCATGTTGCACATTCTGGAAATGCATCCAGATCATGGAGAACTAGAAAAGGTGCATAAGATGATTCATTTTGATTAAAATATTGAGATAATATTTTATATTTGACTTACATCAACCATCAGCTGTCAAGGTTCTAAGTAATTCATACTGATCTATGACTATCTGTGTTGTGATGTTTGCAGGATCTAAACATAAACTACGAAGTCATTCAGAGAGACAGTATAACTGTGTGAGGAACAGAAGATTGTGAGCTAAAACCCCCTGCTGAAATACATATTTTGTAGGCCTACATTTCAGTCTGGCCAGTGGCTGTTTTGAGAAGAAAGCACTATTTTAGTTTACAGTAACATATATTCATTGTTACCATGTTTACTGGTGATTTAGTGGAAGTAAATGAATTCATGTTGTTTGTGGTTTAGTGACAGGTAGACAAACTGTCACAAGGGGCGAGGAGAAGCATTACACATGTAATTGATTTAGACTACTTTTTCTTGCTATTGAGTTTTGAATAAGACTAAGACATCACTAATGAATGAAAACAATTCCTACCTTACAAACAAAAGCGGTCCTACTTCACCACAGTTACTTACTCGATGGTCATCTGGTGCCGCACGTGTTCCCACTCAGAGAGCAGTCTACCTGTACAGGTGATTTCCAGCTCTTTATCCTCTACAGTCCAGAAAATGTTTCCTCCTCGATGTGTGGACAAGGAAAGTAATGTAAAAATGCTGAAACTGTAACGTATTTAGTTTTTAAAGCGCACAAAACGTTCGTCGGGGCTGCGGGTGGATTTCTGAAGTCGCTATTTAGTCGACCAATCAAAATCTTGACGAGCGTGACGCGATACAAAGGTACTTGTTTCAATGTTTTAATAATTTACTTAATGATTGCTCGTTTCCTGTGGAATCCACGCCTTTCCAACAAAACTGTATGCCACAGTGCCTATGTTACTCATTACATTTGTATATTTATGTTGGATTAGACATTTTCTGTAAAGTTTTTCATAAATTCATAACCAATTTTCTCTCTCTGTCGAGAGTTTTGGACAGACCAACTAGTCAATATTATATTAATGCATGTTACTTATGTATGTACCAAGTATTTTTTTTTTATGTATTTTGAAACAACAAAACGATCCAAACATGTAAATACTTCTGATTTTACAATGAATGCATCTGTAAATCAAATTTAATTGAATAAAAGAACTACATATTACCTGCCTTTTATTTTATATATAAAAAATTAAATGGTATATTTAGTTGGTGAATATGTAGAGTATTATGAGACACATGAAGGTTTTACAAAAATGGCAAACAGCCAATTAAGACTGGAAAAAGAATACATTTTAGACATAATTACCAATAATCTATTTAATATATGATATACATAATCATGATGTTATGTGTTTTTTGTAAATAACATTATTTCCATTAGTCTTCAGACCAACTTTCAGAACCCCTAAAAAAAGACAATAAAGACTGAAACTCAAAAAGTTATTTTTTGTCATATTAATAAACAAATTAAATTTAAGGCACTAGATGAGATACTAGATAACCAACGCAATAAAACATTTAATTTGTACATTTCATTTTGATTACATTCAAGAAACAACACATTCAACAATCAACAAAAGCCCCTAAAAGCAGCATGTATGGGCTGAATTATTAAAAAGCAAATGTTTGAATCTGACGACAAGAAGATTTAAAACACCATTCAGTACTGATCTTTATTATACAGTTTATTGTTTCAGACTATAAAATACTTTCGAATCCCTGCCAGGTTTACATACTAAATCACTTTATTTAGCAACAACAAAACCACGTTATTACTGGTAATACGGTCTGTAGCGGCCCTGATCGGGGTGATGTGGCCCCGGCATCTGTCCCTGTGGAGGGGGACCCTGCATTCGAGGAGGGGGACCCCGGGGTGCCGGCCACATTCCTGGACTCAAGCCCCCAGGCTGGTTGAATGGTGGGCTGAGTGTGCTCTTGTCCTCGGGAAACTGGGGGTTGTAATGGTGGGGAGGCGGGGCACTGACAGGGGGACCACCATGCTGAGGGGGCGGCCCTGGAGGAGGATGGTTCATAAAGGGGGGCATCTGACCAATGAGGTGTCCGGGAGGCGGGGTGATGGGAGGGGGAACAGATGACAGTGGAGGAGGGGCCTGGTTAAAAACCATGTGAGGTGTGTTTGAGCCCTGTCCTGGGTGCGGCATGGGGTGACTGATTGGGGGAGGGGGCGGCGGGGGGCCGTAGTGCTGCTGAGGAGGTGCCATCATGTGATGTGGATGGGTCACAACAGGCTGACCTGGATAGTCTCCTGGGTGATGGTGAGGGGGAGGAGCATTGCCGGGCTGGGGGAGGGGGTCACGGGATGGTCCGGAGCTCGCAGAATCGTCCTGGAGGGGAACCGTGATGAGGT